GAAAACGGTCCTTTGCTTACTACTTTACATTACAAACAAAATTAATGGCTTTAATTTTAGTCTAGTATACAAAAGTTCAAGTGTCTAGGCACCGAAATAACATCGGATTGAAGACGTGTCACAATGTAAAGAAAATATTAGGACAGAGAAACACTGCTGACTGTATAAAACAAACATATGATATAATAAATCCCTGTAATTATAAACTAGCAAAATAATTCTGGCATATTACATTGAACCAGTTTTAGAACCTGACCGTGCATACTGGCAGTTAGTAAACAATCTGAGAAATCCCGTAAAGCCTCTGGAGTGTGGTTTGATTGGCAGACATTACCCATCTGCTGCACAGTGCTTTTGGTGACATAAAATAAATGTGTCTCCAAATGGGCGGCTCCTGGATGGGCGGGGCTAAAGAAAATTGTATTCAGCGGGTCTGTGACCTAGTGGAGGTCAGACGTGGAAGAGAATGGATGGATTCACTAATATACATGCATTATTAGGGGATCTGCATGGCAAAGTGGTCAAGCCAGTTGCCTCGCACTCTGAAGGTTGTCGGTTTTTGTGTGGAAATTTCTGGGGATTGTCACTGGAGCTAGGGAGTTCATACTTTGTATGATGCTCTTGTCAGGCAGCTAGCACTTCTGCGGAGAGAGACCGAGCTATATAAGATTAAAGCCGGTGCACTGAAGTCCATCCTGTTGACTTTAACATGCATTATTTTTCTAAGGTTTCTATCTTATTGGATCAGTGTCTGTGGTTTAGGCATTGTGAACATGCTTCATAATTCAAAGTTGCCATGTTCAATCTCAGCTGCTGGTAATCTTGCAGCAGACCAGCTTGACTTGCTTTCGTCAGTGGCACCGAGAGCCTACTGTTTATGAAACAATAGCAAACTACTGAGTATAAAATGGCCTATTGAAATCACAAACAGCCAGAGTATGCTGGGATTATTTTTGCAACATCCAGTAAAGGATATGCAACTAAGAACATCACACTAGGGAAGTTCTTTAGGAAGAAGGCTCTTTCTGCCATAGGCACTGATAGATAGGCACTGATAGATAGGCACTGATAGATAGGCACTGATAGATAGGCACTGATAGATAGGCACTGATAGATAGGCACTGATAGATTGGCACTGATAGATCGGCACTGATAGATAAGCTCTCTCTTCTCTTTTGCCTTTCTATCCCCCAATGGAGCATAGGCCCTCAACCAACTCACGCCAAGTCGTTCTATTCTTAGCCATTGCATGGAGCTCTCCCCATGTCCTCCCCATTTTTCTGACTTCATTCTTGATAGATAGGCACTGATAGATAGGCACTGATAGATAGGCACTGATAGATAGGCACTGATAGATAGGCACTGATAGATAAACACTGGAGTCCAGCAGACTACACATAATTCTGTGATGCATGGGTCAAGGTCACCAGGGGCATGCACCACACAAAGGATTGAGTAAGTAAATGATGATAGTGTTGCTGGCCAGGCAATCGAATCAAGCATAACCAGGGAGGTAATCGCGAGGTCCAGAGCATGAGCAGAAAATGCGGTAAACACATCAGACTCTAATAACTCGCTTTGTAAAATCACAATAGGTAACGTGTTCTCTGAATGGATAGAAAACATTCGGAAGTCACACTTAACCTCCCTCGCCTGGATCTACACACCTGGGCATGCCAAAGTTAAAATTAATAAAAACATCATCAATGAGCTCACGAGTGTTGCATCACTACCTGTGGGAAGATGCATAAACAGAGGAGATATCATCACTACATAGACTAGTCTGGCATAATGATAAGTACTTAACATGATTACATGACCTGGTAGTAAAGCCTGGTGAAGCTTGTCCACACTGTCTTTGGTGTACAGGTAGGAGACATTATTTCCAGCTTCTCATAAGAACAGTCAGTAGAAGTACCTTGGTGTGGCTGCTCCACTGGAGTACTTAGCATGCCTGGAAATGTACAGCATACAATGAATTGATTGTGATAACATAACATAACATAACAAGGAATGTGGTTTTACACAAGAATGCTAAAATTTCTTTGACAGCTAAAATTAATAATCTAGATGCTTTACTTGAAGATAACTTACAACAAATATCAGAAAGTTGCCATTGTTGGCTGCATTATTAGAAGAGGAAAAAAATAGACATTTTATGACATCTGAAGAAAACTGTGGGAAGGGGGAGGAAAGGGGGGGGGGGGGGGGAAGGATAGAGGAAGATAATAAGAAAAACAGCCTTTTTACCTGGACTAGAAAGGTGTCACCTTGGAAAGCTGATACAAGCTGCTGGAGATCACAGATGTAGAAAAGCATTATCATCAATGCCAGTCAGCGAGGCACTTGATGATGGTATCTGTTAAGTTTATTGACTAAGCCTTTAAACCAGGTTTTTCTCTAAACAAACCAAAGCTCGAATGTTTGTGTTCGGCATACAGCAGTCATCACATGACAAGAACCACAATAAGGCAGTAGGCAAGATAAATGACTGATGCCCGGAATTCTTCGGTTTGATTTACATGGCAACAGATTTATAAATAAACTTGGGCTGCCAGGTTCACCTAGGATGAATTATAACTCAGACAATTATTAAGATGGCTGGCCTGACATTGAGCACATCACTCATGAGCTGCCAGTTGGTCTACACAAATGTAGGTCTGTCACCTTGTGCCTGATGCACCATTTCAGGGATTCCTCACTGAGTTTTTACTGTAAATTACATTAGACTCAAAAGTTCAGAGTTCATCAACTTAACTGATAAAGTAGACTGTCTCGATTTGTTTATTTTCAGTACTGAACACAAAAAATTTACATGTGTGTGTGTGTGTGTGTGCCTGTGTGTGCGTGTGTGCACACACACAGTAGTCATCATCATCACGTGCACTAGTTTTTGCAATTCCATCTTTATTATGAGCAGATGTATTATCATATGAGCTTCCAAGAAGAAGTGAATCACCTCAAATAAACCAATCAGATGCCATCTTCACAGTGAGTGCTGGGTACCCTGGATAAGCACTTTTTCACCCTAGTTGTACACTCTCTCAGACTGCCGTTTGTCCATTTCATGATGTTATCCACCCAATTGTATCAATGTTTATCTCTTGTTGAACTGTCCTTAACTTTGTCTACTCATTTAATTCTCAGTCTCTTCAGAAATGTTATTAATTTCTTTCCCAGTTGAATACAACCTATTCTTCTGTATATTTACTTTCCAATGGCTTGTTTACTAGATATATTTCAGCTTTCCAATGGCTTGTTTACTGAACATATTTTAGCTTTCCAATGGCTTGTTTACTGGACATATTTCAGCTTTCCAATGGCTTGTTTACTGGACATATTTCAGCTTTCTAATGGCTTGTTTACTGAACATATTTTAGCTTTCCAATGGCTTGTTTACTGGACATATTTCAGCTTTCCAATGGCTTGTTTACTGGACATATTTCAGCTTTCTAAGGGCTTGTTTACTGGACATATTTCAGCTTTCCACTGGCTTGTTTACTGGACATATTTCAGCTTTCTAATGGCTTGTTTACTGAACATATTTTAGCTTTCCAATGGCTTGTTTACTGAACATATTTTAGCTTTCCAATGGCTTGTTTACTAGACATATTTCAGCTTTCCAATGGCTTGTTTACTAGATATATTTCAGCTTTCCAATGGCTTGTTTACTAGACATATTTCAGCTTTCCACTGGCTTGTTTACTGGACATATTTCAGCTTTCCAATGGCTTGTTTACTAGACATATTTCAGCTTTCCACTGGCTTGTTTACTGGACATATTTCAGCTTTCCAATGGCTTGTTTACTAGACATATTTCAGCTTTCCAATGGCTTGTTTACTGAACATATTTCAGCTTTTCAATGGCTTGTTTACTGAACATATTTCAGCTTTCTAATGGCTTGTTTACTGGACATATTTCAGCTTTCTAATGGCTTGTTTACTAGACATATTTCAGCTTTCCAATAGCTTGCTTACTGGACATATTTCAGCTTTCTAATGGCTTGTTTACTGGACAAATTTTGGCTTTCCAATGGCTTGTTTACTGGACATATTTCAGCTTTCTAATGGCTTGTTTTTTAGACATATTTCAGCTTTCTAATGGCTTGTTTACTGGACATATTTCAGCTTTCCAATGGCTTGTTTACTGAACATATTTCAGATTTCTAATGGCTTGTTTACTGGACATATTTCAGCTTTCTAATGGCTTGTTTACTTGACATATTTCGGCTTTCCAATGGCTTGTTTACTGGACATATTTCGGCTTTCCAATGGCTTGTTTACTGGACATATTTTGGCTTTCCAATGGCGTGTTTACTGGAAAATCATAGTGATAACTGGTAAACTGAATGAAAAAAAACAAAACAATTGCTGCATTAAGAAACAAAACACACAGTGATTCATCTACATGATTCTAGATGGTAATTAGATGATATTACTGTTACTAATGAGGTCACATCTAATATTTCATTTTAACCTTTTCAGTAGGGAAAAGCATTAATTAATTCATTGTAAACTTGTTCACTGTAAACCATTAATTCACAGAAGACTTTTCTATCTCTTCTGTCGCAGAAAGTTATATTAACTCATACTGTCTTAATTTTTAATTGAGTTCCTTCTATTTCATGGTTTTATTGTAACCCATTCAGTACCAAGGAACTTACCACGAGTTTATTGATTTAATCTGGCAAGATATTCTTTACTGAACTCTCTATAAACCACCCAGCTGTTACATTAATATTCTGTTTAACAGTTTCAGCTTTAACCTCTTTTGTCCCATAAGATTATTATGTTAACTCCTGAGACCTGAACATGTATTAGCTACATTAGCTTGTTAGAAAAATATGAGTTAAAGCAGCGCCTGCTTGGTTCTGAGCAAGTTAAATGCTTCCAATTCAAACACTGGCTAATCTGAGCTAGAACATCTCCAGATATAGTTGAAGTAATTACCGGCTGGTTCTGACAGAGTTGAGATCACCTTTGATTGTTCTCCCATCCAGGAATCACATTAAGCAGTTGTGTGACACAATGACAAAGCAGATCATCTCCAGGGCATTTTATGGATGTAAGTTGTAGTTGTTGACATGTTTACACTTCAGTATAGATAGTTTCATTTAAGCTTTTCTTCACTTTATTGAAGATCATTTAGTTTAGTTTTTCTAGAATTCATTGAAGATAATTCGTTTTTTAGTGTTTTTTTCACTTCATTGGCGATCATTTCATTCACAAGATCACCATATTTCCATATTTTGAGAAGAAAAAACGTTATCCAGATTTGTCAAATGTTATCTAAGTCTTGTTAAACTGGACATTTAGGAGCTTATAGTATCAGAACCCTGTTTGTGGACACCAGATACCAAAGACATCCTGGACATAAGAGTTCATGAGACAGGGCTGTTGGCCAGGAACTGAGTGGCTGTCTAGTGTGCTAGGATGAGAGTGACGCAAAGTTCTGGTTACATGATGACAGTGATGTCAGACTGAGTGGCTGTCTAGTGTGCTAGGATGAGAGTGACGCAAAGTTCTGGTTACATGATGACAGTGATGTCAGACTGAGTGGCTGTCTAGTGTGCTAGGATGAGAGTGACGCAAAGTTCTGGTTACATGATGACAGTGATGTCAGACTGAGTGGCTGTCTAGTGTGCTAGGATGAGAGTGACGCAAAGTTCTGGTTACATGATGACAGTGATGTCAGACTGAGTGGCTGTCTAGTGTGCTAGGATGAGAGTGACGCAAAGTTCTGGTTACATGATGACAGTGATGTCAGACTGAGTGGCTGTCTAGTGTGCTAGCATGAGAGTGACGCAAAGTTCTGGTTACATGATGACAGTGATGTCAGACTGAGTGGCTGTCTAGTGTGCTAGGATGAGAGTGACGCAAAGTTCTGGTTACATGATGACAGTGATGTCAGACTGAGTGGCTGTCTAGTGCGCTAGGATGAGAGTGACGCAAAGTTCTGGTTACATGATGACAGTGATGTCAGACTGAGTGGCTGTCTAGTGTGCTAGGATGAGAGTGACGCAAAGTTCTGGTTACATGATGACAGTGATGTCAGACTGAGTGGCTGTCTAGTGTGCTAGGATGAGAGTGACGCAAAGTTCTGGTTACATGATGACAGTGATGTCAGACTGAGTGGCTGTCTAGTGTGCTAGGATGAGAGTGACGCAAAGTTCTGGTTACATGATGACAGTGATGTCAGAGTGAGTGGCTGTCTAGTGTGCTAGCATGAGAGTGACGCAAAGTTCTGGTTACATGATGACAGTGATGTCAGACTGAGTGGCTGTCTAGTGTGCTAGGATGAGAGTGACGCAAAGTTCTAGTTACATGATGACAGTGATGTCAGACTGAGTGGCTGTCTAGTGTGCTAGGATGAGAGTGAGGCAAAGTTCTGGTTACATGATGACAGTGATGTCAGACTGAGTGGCTGTCTAGTGTGCTAGCATGAGAGTGACGCAAAGTTCTGGTTACATGATGACAGTGATGTCAGACTGAGTGGCTGTCTAGTGTGCTAGGATGAGAGTGACGCAAAGTTCTGGTTACATGATGACAGTGATGTCAGACTGAGTGGCTGTCTAGTGTGCTAGGATGAGAGTGACGCAAAGTTCTGGTTACATGATGACAGTGATGTCAGACTGAGTGGCTGTCTAGTGTGCTAGGATGAGAGTGACGCAAAGTTCTGGTTACATGATGACAGTGATGTCAGAGTGAGTGGCTGTCTAGTGTGCTAGCATGAGAGTGACGCAAAGTTCTGGTTACATGATGACAGTGATGTCAGACTGAGTGGCTGTCTAGTGTGCTAGGATGAGAGTGACGCAAAGTTCTGGTTACATGATGACAGTGATGTCAGAGTGAGTGGCTGTCTAGTGTGCTAGGATGAGAGTGACGCAAAGTTCTGGTTACATGATGACAGTGATGTCAGAGTGAGTGAAATTGAATGTATACAACATCGATAACTGGTGGTCAAGGCTTTGACCTTACAGAAAATGGGTCACTCTGTAGTGACTCCATTCTTGTGCCAGGAGAAGTCACAAAATGCCATTAACAAACTAGTGGACAAACAGTTTGTCCTGGCAAAAAACAGAAACATGCACAAGCAGTAAATGAGTAAGGCAGCCTTTAGTCATCACAACACTCACCATTTATAATTGATTGAACTAGTCAGTCAAGACAAGCTGGCCATAAAGCAAAACTATTACAGAAGGCACATTACAAGCATGGATACAGATTCCACCCACTGTTTTCTGAATATCATGACACAAACCACTGTGGATCTAGAAAAAAGCTATTCCACATGAAATACACAGCTCACCGTGATGCACCAAGCTGCACAGCTCACAGTGATGCACCAAGCTGCACAGCTCACAGTGATGCACCAAGCTACACATCTCATAGTGATGCACCAAGCTGCACAGCTCACAGTGATGCACCAAGCTACACATCTCATAGTGATGCACCAAGCTGCACAGCTCACAGTGATGCACCAAGCTACACATCTCATAGTGATGCACCAAGCTACACAGCTCACAGTGATGCACCAAGCTACACAGCTCACAGTGATGCACCAAGCTACACATCTCATAGTGATACACCAAGCTACACAGCTCATAGTGATACACCAAGCTACACAGCTCACAGTGATACACCAAGCTACACATCTCATAGTGATACACCAAGCTACACATCTCATAGTGATACACCAAGCTACACAGCTCACAGTGATACACCAAGCTACACAGCTCACAGTGATACACCAAGCTACACAGCTCATAGTGATACACCAAGCTACACAGCTCACAGTGATGCACCAAGCTACACAGCTCATAGTGATACACCAAGCTACACATCTCATAGTGATGCACCAAGCTACACATCTCATAGTGATACACCAAGCTACAAAGCTCATAGTGATACACCAAGCTACACAGCTCACAGTGATACACCAAGCTACACATCTCATAGTGATACACCAAGCTACACAGCTCATAGTGATGCACCAAGCTACACATCTCACAGTGATGCACCAAGCTACACATCTCACAGTGATACACCAAGCTACACAGCTCACAGTGATGCACCAAGCTACACAGCTCACAGTGATACACCAAGCTACACATCCCACAGTGATACACCAAGCTACACAGCTCACAGTGATGCACCAAGCTACACAGCTCACAGTGATACACCAAGCTACACATCCCACAGTGATACACCAAGCTACACAGCTCACAGTGATGCACCAAGCTACACAGCTCACAGTGATACACCAAGCTACACAGCTCACAGTGATACACCAAGCTACACAGCTCATAGTGATACACCAAGCTACACAGCTCATAGTGATACACCAAGCTACACATCCCACAGTGATACACCAAGCTACACAGCTCACAGTGATACACCAAGCTACACAGCTCATAGTGATACACCAAGCTACACAGCTCACAGTGATGCACCAAGCTACACAGCTCACAGTGATACACCAAGCTACACAGCTCACAGTGATACACCAAGCTACACAGCTCACAGTGATGCACCAAGCTACACATCTCACAGTGATGCACCAAGCTACACATCTCACAGTGATGCACCAAGCTACACAGCTCACAGTGATACACCAAGCTACACATCTCACAGTGATGCACCAAGCTACACAGCTCACAGTGATGCACCAAGCTACACAGCTCACAGTGATGCACCAAGCTGCTCAGCTTCTGGCACCAAGCTGATATCAGGAAGTAATAAATACAACAAAAACTTTGACAAGCAAGTTCAGTGGCAGGAATAAGAAAGACACACACAAATATAACTAAACCTTTTGACTAAAATTGGTGTTGTATTTAATAAGTTGTTGATAAAGACATTGGTCAGAATGTTTCATTGTATTTGTGCACATCTTTTCCATTCCCTCAGTTAAGCTTTCTAGTCACAGATTGTGTTGTGTTTAGTTCTACTGAGCTCAGAACTTTAGGCACAAAACTTTGGATTTCAGACCGTATGTCGAAATTGCTTTGGCAAATTGTGGCCATAAGCAAACAACACATTCAGACTTGAATGACTTAATGTACTGCCTAGGTTGTCTGCCATATTGGATCAGAAGTCTCACACTGGTGAGAACACTGGTGAGAACACTGGTGAGAACACTGGTGAGAACACTAATGAGAACACTGGTGAGAACACTGGTGAGAAAGAACACTGGTGAGAAAGAACACTGGTGAGAACACTGGTGAGAACACTGGTGAGAACACTGGTGAGAATAATGTCAATGGAAGAGCTGCAGGTTAAGAATCTTCCAGTCATAAAGACTCAAGACAAGATAATGGAAGTTTATGTTGTATATCAAAAGAATAGGTGGAATAGAAATAGTAACTGTGTGTGGGCAAAAGAGGTGGGGGGGGGGAGGAGGAGAGAGGGGGGGGGGGGAGAGTGTATGAGGAAAGCTTGCAACAAATAATAGTAAAACATCATCATCATCTAAATATCAGAAAAGAAAGAATATTGGAGAGTCTAGATCACAGATGTCAGCTCCAGGCAAGGCATGTGTAGAAAAAGAAGATTAAGCAGGAGAAAAAGTAGCAGAAAAAGAACAAAGAAAATAAAAGTAAACTTGTAGCAGAAGAAGCCTGGCAAAGTCTCCTTTTATTTCCTGGCATATTGTTTTCTAATCTTCTTTTTTTCTCACCACATTTAGAATTTTTTTGTAGGCATTTTATTTCTGTTGTTTCTTTTAGTCTTTTTTCTTTGCTGTTAGTGTTCAGATAAACTGTTGACAGCATACTGTTAAAAGGTATTTTTTTTAAAAGCCTTTTTTTTCATTACATTAATTTGCATGTTTTTATTGCCACTTTTGTAGGGCTGGCACACTGCAGACACCTGAAGACAGTGCGTACACACCTGTCTGGCCTCGTGTTCCACAATATTGTGGCAGCAGATAGTCCTGTGGATGCTAGTCAGGGACTTACTCCCAAGATGTGGCAACAGCTGTGCAATAATGGTGTTGTAAGTCTTGCACTGTATAATTTTTATGATAACCCTTCTGCCCCAAGAAACTCTTAGGCAAAAAGCCAT